AGAATTCGCAACTATAGGTTATAATTCAGCCTTCAACACAAAAGCTTGGCTAACATTGAACAGCATCCTACCGAGGGCCCCAAAACACTGTTATAAAACAATTTAAACAGGAAAAAACAAACAGATCTAATTATACTTCAAACCAGAAACAAAAAGCAAATATGAACTGCACCAAAAAAAGACAACCACTAAACAACATGCTTCGGACTTGGGACATGTGCTTATGAATACACCTGGTTTAAAAGAATTTACATACATGTACATACCATAAGACAGTAGTGTAATTTTACCATGTAAAAGACCCCCTTTAATATTTAATGAAAAAATCGTGTACAGATAAAAAAAAATCGTAAGTGTTCCGCGGAACCCAGTGTCTCGCCTACTTTTGCTGTAAATCGCAGGCTTAACAAAAATGAGGAAAAACATCAATAAAAAGGGACATCCGGAAAATATCTTCAAAGCGAGTTAAAGGTTTTAAAAGTGTTTGTTTTTAAAAAAAAGTGGTTTGCCATCTAAAACTTTTAAGAGCATACACAAAGCACATAACTTAAAATTGCCAATGCTTGCTAGCCTAAGCATAAAAAAACCTTGCAGAGCAGGTGTAAGGATCTTTATAATGATCAATATCAAGCCATTGTTCAAATAACCATGAACATATCTCAAATTCTAATAAAAACGGCTATTTTACAGGTTTAAATGTGGTAGGAAGACAACTCTCCATCAAAACACAGTGTAGTCAGAATTCGCAATTATAGGTTATAATTCAGCCTTCAACACAAAAGCTTGGCTAACATTGGACAGCATCCTACCGAGGGCCCCCAAAACACTGTTATAAAACAATTTAAACAGGAAAAAACAAACAGATCTAATTTAACTTCAAACCAGAAACAAAAAGCAAATATGAACTGCACCAAAAAACGACAACCACTAAACAACATGCTTCGGACTTGGGACATGTGCTTATGAATACACCTGGTTTAAAATAATTTACATACATGTACATACCATAAGACAGTAGTGTAATTTTACCATGTAAAAGACACCCTTTAATATTTAATGAAAAAATCGTGTACAGATAAAAAAAAATCGTAAGGGTTCCGCGGAACCCAGTGTCTCGCCTACTTTTGCTGTAAATCGCAGGCTCAACAAAAATGAGGAAAAACATCAATAAAAAGGGACATCCGGAAAATATCTTCAAAGCGAGTTAAAGGTTTTAAAAGTGTTTGTTTTTAAAAAAAAAGTGGTTTGCCATCTAAGACTTCTAAGAGCATACACAAAGCACAGAACTTAAAATTGCCAATGCTTGCTACCCTAAGCATAAAAAAACCTTGCAGAGCAGGTGTAAGGATCTTAATAATGATCAATATCAAGCCATTGTTCAAATAACCATGAACATATCTCAAATTCCAATAAAAACGGCTATTTTACAGGTTCACGTATTGCATTTCTTAAACACATATAATCATTAATTGATTAAATTTCTTCATATTTGCATTTGAACTTTAGCCTAAAAACTAACTCTAATTTTAAAACAAAAACCAGCATCTTAGAATGGAACATCAAGTGAGTGACTTAACATGATGTCTTTCGGGAGAGAGGAGAGAAAAAAATATTCCTTTAACAAGAATATTTCACCCCACATTGAACAGTATTTACTTTACGTAAACAGTCACTGTCAGTTTCTAATTCTTATATAACAAAAATGATATAAAACAATAAATCTTTTTTTTTAAACAATTATCTTATATCTAATGCCAAACAAGCATTTGGGTTTACGATTGCATTTCTTTTTTTAAAGAAAGCAACTTGTATTAGTCATGTTATTACCATTGTGCAAATCTTTAGACTTATATAATTGTTTCCTTATCTGCGCAGTAACGTCTATTCTAGACGATCCGGTACATATTAAATTTCCTTTTTAGCTCACCTTGCCCAATAGGGCCAAGTGAGCTTTTCTCATCACTTGGCGTCCGGCGTTCGTCGTCCGTCGTCCGTCGTCATCGTCCGTCGTCCGTCGTCCGTCGTCGTCGTCGTCCGTCGTTGTCGTCGTCCGTCGTCGTCCGTTAATTTAAAAAAAAAAATCTTCTCCTCTGAAACGACTGGGCCAAATAAAACCAAACTTGGCCTTAATCATTCTTAGGGTATTTAGTTTTAAAAATGTATCCGACGACCACGCCCATCATCCAAAATGGTCACCATGGCTTAAAATAGAACATGGGGGTAAAATGCAGTTTTTAGCTATCTCTGAAACTAAAGCATTTAGAGCAAATCTGACATTGGCTAAAAATGTTCAGCCGGTCAAGATCTATCTGCCCCGAAATTTTCAGACACATCAGACAACCCGTTGTTGGGTTGCTGCCCCTGAATTGATCATTTTAAGGAAATTTTGCAGTTTTTGGTTATTATCTTGAATATTATAATAGATAGAGGTAAACAGTAAACAGCAAAATTGTTCAACAAAGTAAGATCTGCAAATAAGTCAAATATCCAAAATTGTCAATTGATCCCATAAAGAGTTATTGCCCTTCAAAGTCATTTTTTTTTACAATTATTCGTAAATATTTGTACTCTATTACATAAATTTTCTCTGAAACTACTGTGCAAAATTAAACCAAACTTGGCCTAAATCATCCTTAGGGTATCTAAATTTAAAAATGTATCCGATGACCCCGTCCATCATTCAAGATGGCCGCCATGGCTAAAAATAGAACATGGGGGTAAAATGCAGTTTTAGGCTTATATCTCTGAAACTAAAGCATTGAGAGCAAAATCCGTTGTTGGGTTGTTGCCCCTGAATTGGTCATTTTAAGGAAATTTTGCAGTTTTGGTTATTATCTTGAATATTATAATAGATAGAGATAAAATGTAAACAGCAAAATTGTTCAGTAAAGTAAGATCTACAAATAAGTCAAACATGACCAAAATTGTCAATTGACCCCATAAGGAGTTATTGTCCTTTAGATCAATTCTTTACAATTTTTTTAATCTTTTACAAAAATCTTTTCCTCTGAAACTACTGAGACAAATTTAACCAAACTTGGCCACAATCATCCTTTAGTTATCTTATCTAGTTCGATTGTCTGATGACCCCGCCTGCCAACCAACATGGCCGACATGACCCTTAAATGACAAATTTTACCATTTTGTAAACAGCAAACTGTAAACAGCAAAATTGTTCAACAAAGTAAGATCTGCAAATAAGTCAAATATCCAAAATTGTCAATTGATCCCATAAAGAGTTATTGCCCTTCAAAGTCATTTTTTTTTACAATTATTCGTAAATATTTGTAATCTATTACAAAAATCTTCTCTGAAACTACTGGGCAAAATTAAACCAAACTTGGCCTAAATCATCCTTAGGGTATCTAAATTTAAAAATGTATCCGATGACCCCGTCCATCATTCAAGATGGCCGCCATGGCTAAAAATAGAACATGGGGGTAAAATGCAGTTTTAGGCTTATATCTCTGAAACTAAAGCATTGAGAGCAAAATCCGTTGTTGGGTTGTTGCCCCTGAATTGGTCATTTTAAGGAAATTTTGCAGTTTTGGTTATTATCTTGAATATTATAATAGATAGAGATAAAATGTAAACAGCAAAATTGTTCAGTAAAGTAAGATCTACAAATAAGTCAAACATGACCAAAATTGTCAATTGACCCCATAAGGAGTTATTGTCCTTTAGATCAATTCTTTACAATTTTTTTAATCTTTTACAAAAATCTTTTCCTCTGAAACTACTGAGACAAATTTAACCAAACTTGGCCACAATCATCCTTTAGTTATCTTATCTAGTTCGATTGTCTGATGACCCCGCCTGCCAACCAACATGGCCGACATGACCCTTAAATGACAAATTTTACCATTTTGTTTTCATTTTTGCCTATTATCTTGAAAACTATAAAATATGCAGAGAAACATTTAATTGCAAAAATGATCAGCAAGACAAGTTCTACAAATACGTTCTATTGTCGAAATCGTCAGCCTACTCCATATGAGAGTTATTGCCCTTTGCTGATGATTTTTACAATATTTTGCGTTTTTGCCTTATTTCTTTAAAATTATAATAGATAGATAGAAACTTAAATAGGCAAAAATGATCAGCAAGACAAGATCTACAATTAAGACAATATAGAGGAAATCGTCCGATCTACTAACAAGTCACATTTTGCTGATAAAGGTAGCAGGCTGTCACTCTTTATAGGAATGATTGTCCAGCCCCTTAAATAAGGATTTTTTTTACCCTCTTTTGAGTTTTGAGCAAAAACTAAAGAAGATAGAGAGAAACTAAACAGACTAAATGATCAGCAATACAAGATCAACAAAACAGAGATTTTTCTTATGAATTCTATTCTTGTCTTCAATGTTGGAGAGTGTCCTTTGTTGAATATGCACATAGACCAAGGTGAGCGACACAGGATCTTTAGAGCCTCTAGTAATAGACTTCTATATATATATATATAGATTGCCTAACAATGTAATTTTAACACACTATTTAGTATGTAAATATAAGAATGTTTATAATATTTACAAAATGATGAAAATAAACGCAATATTTCGCTAGACTAACTAGCTTTATCAAGCGTGCATCTATCCAGGTGAAATCGGATGTAGATGATAAGAAACTTTTGCAGCTCAATGTATATGTTGCACTTGAATTTAGCTGCCTTGAAAATAATACATAATTTGGATGAAGTTCAAGATTTCTACAAAATTGGTAGTTGAAGTTAGCAACGTCCATTGGCCAATATTACAGGATAAAAAGGACGATGCTGTGTACTAAATTATTCTTTATCTTTCCTGTATCTTTTCTCATCTTTTTCGTTAAGACCATCAGGTTCTAAAGTGTGGAGTTGGTAAAAATTTTCTCTTCTCCTTCTCGCCGTGGTGTCCCACTCGGTGTTGACTTCTATGAACTGCTTTCATCAGCTCCGTTACTAAACAAAATTATACCATCTACTCAAATTCCAACTGTAAAACGGAGAACTCAATTTATATATTAACATGTGACACTTGTGGCATTCAGTATGTGGGAGAAACAATGGACAAATTTAATATTCGGCTCAACAACCATCGTTCATGGTACAAAACCAACAAAAACTGTCCTCTCACAAGACATCTTCGTTCAACGAAACATTCTTTTGATAATGTTACTTTCCAAATCATAGAAGTAAACACCGAGTGGGACACCACGGCGAGAAGGAGAAGAGAAAATTTTTGGATCCACCAACTCCACACTTTAGAACCTGATGGTCTTAACGAAAAAGATGGGAAAAGATACAGGAAAGATAAAGAATAATTTAGTACACAGCATCGTCCTTTTTATCCTGTAATATTGGCCAATGGACGTTGCTAACTTCAACTACCAATTTTATAGAAATCTTGAACTTCATCCAAATTATGTATTATTTTCAAGGCAGCTAAATTCAAGTGCAACATATACATTGAGCTGCAAAAGTTTCTTATCATCTACATCCGATTTCACCTGGATAGATGCACGCTTGATAAAGCTAGTTAGTCTAGCGAAATATTGCGTTTATTTTCATCATTTTGTAAATATTATAAACATTCTTATATTTACATACTAAATAGTGTGTTAAAATTACATTGTTAGGCAATCTATAATTTTATTTGTGTAATTGAATTAATCTCTGTACTGATTAATCCACACTCCCATAGATTTGTATGTCATGTGCTGCTATTTATTGGCACTTATATATATATATATATATATGAAAATCCCTTTATTCGTGATAAGTACTCCCTAACACTCGCACTTTATCGTGAAGAAAGGGATTTTCATTCTCTTACATAATTATACAAATAATATGTTCATATTTACTTTCATTTACATAAACAATTACCGTTTTCATTGTTTAAACGACTTCAAATGTGTGTTAAAATTTTCATTTAACTTGAAGTTATCTTCATTTGGTTAAAGTGTATCCGATATCCTTCCGAATAATTTATATATATATCCTGCCTTTCTTTGTTTTTACTGGACTATCGTGCAATCAATGTCTCATGCACACATACTTTAACCTGTTATCAACATATTGTATAATTCTCAATGTTTTAATTTAAACTTAGATATCGATTACAAACAAAAAAAATAGATAAAATCAACCCCAAGTGTTGAATGGGCTATAAAAAAAAATAGTCACTTTAACTTCTCATATAGCAACATATTTTCTTCCGTTTGGCTGCGCGGAGTATGTAAATATGTAAACATTGTCCGGTCGGAATGGGGATGTTAAATCTAATGCTTTATGTAGGTATAAATAGTACGATGTAATCAGAAAAAAAAACACCATGCATCCGCAGGGAACGATCTCAATCTAAAGTTCGTATTAATTTTATATTTACATTGTAGATTTGTTTGTTTGTTATTTGTTCCTCTGAGGCGAATTTTTGCAACAAAAGGTAAAGATTTTACATTAAAATATTGCGTAAAAGCGCATGTATACGGAAAAAATATTGACTTGTAAATGCTGTAGGGCACGGAGCACCGTAAAATTCTGATTCGAAACAAATGAAAAAGAATTAGAGAAGGCAGTTTTTTTTATTATTTTTTGTTCAGAGAGAGAGAGAGAGAGAGAGAGAGAGAGAGAGAGAGAGTAAATATACAAATAAGAAGATGTGGTATGATTGCCAATGAGACAACTATTCACAAGAGACCAAACTATAGGTCACTTTACGGCCTTCAACAATGAGTAAAACCCATACGGCATAGTCAGCTATAAAAGGCCCCGAAATAACAAATGTAAAACAATTCAAACGAGAAAACTAATGGCCTGATTTATGTACAAAAATATAATTATTGTCTTCAGTATATATGATAAAATAATATTCTGTTTAAAAAGGTTTGAAATTAAGCCTCTCGTTTACTGTAGCTACGTGACCTCTTTATTCCATGACAAATAATATGAATGAACAAATTAAACCTCTACGATCTAAATAACTCTCTTTTCAAATAACAAGGACCTTATTTATTATTCATTTGCGCAAAAACGAATTAACCATAATAATTTTATTCAACGAGTCGAAATGCAATAGAATGTAGTTGTATAGTTGTATAGATATACTGAAGTTGTAATCATATATATTAAGTTCGAACAATTAAATTTATAGTGTTAACATTCTAAATTATTCCTTTTAAATACTATTGATATAATTATTGCTTAAAGAACTCGAAAGACCATTAACTTTAACCCATTATGTCAAGTCAAATTTATGTAATAGAAAAAACGCAAGCTTTGTTGAATAATGGGACGACAAATTAGCATTTAAATATTATACATGATGCGTGACCTTGAAAACTAGTCAGAAATGATTGAATAAAAATGTGGACATATAAACAAGTGATTTTATTTCGTTAAAAATTATTGAACCATAAAGCTGTCCATTTAAAGTTTGTAAATCAAAATGTTTTAAACAGGTACTGTTTAATATCCGTTAAAATCTTATGGGTGTACAATGTATTGTAAAACGACGCTAATTTTACACACGACTCGTACACGAATACAAAATGAAATTTACAACAATGTGAAGGAAATGTTGTGTTTACAATTTCCCGTTTAAATACACGTTACATTTTAAGGTAAGTTCTTATTTACCTCATATATATATATATAGGTCAAGGAAGTATATGGCAGTTTAATTCAAAGGAATAAAAAAATATGACTTGAAAAAGAGCTGGCTAAAAATAGACTGGATGAGAGACAATGTTTTGCAAGGTACACAAATACCACCCATGCTACTAAAACGTAACCTTTTATAATATATAATTCTTAAGCTTAGTATGAATTTGTTCTTCATTGTGTATTATAATTACCTTAGTTTTATAAGTAAAAGGTAGAGCTAACCAAATTTAAGATACCAAATATTCATATGTTTTCGAGATATTTTGTGTCTTTTGCTTTTGTATATAAAAATAATGAGATGTGGTATTATACATGGATTCATGATCCTTTCAAAGATTTTTTTTTTATTTATATAATGTAAATTGAAAAGGGTGCAATGGCCCGTATTTGACAATTTTCGTTTAGATGGCAATACAGGTTATATACGTCCCGTAATATTAATATTTAAAACATATAATACTAGAAATTTACCGTTTCAACAATAACAGTTTAATCGTCAAGATAAACAGATAAAGTAAATAAATCACAATTGTTCTAAATTATTCAAATACTTTGCATGTAGGAACTTATGATTAACTAAGGTATTAAAATTTATTCAAACTTCAAAAAAATAAATTTCGAAAGTACACGTAAACTGCAGTGGTGGGTGTGATCATGGACGTATTATAATAATTATTATTGAAAATATATTTCTTCCATAGTTTGATTGATTAAAAGTTACGTACATGTAACCCGAAATGTGATCGAAAATTAAATAGATTTCCTGGTGAATAGAGGTACACCAATATAGCTGATGATTGAATTAAAAGGACGTAACACTACACTCCTTTATTAACTTTACACTATATACACACATGTCATAATATTTATGTGGTCATTGTTATAAAGGGTAATCCTACTGAATTATCTTTTTAATGAAAAAAAAAAAACATTTTTGACATTTTTCAGGTAAATTGACGTTATATATGATAAGGATGACACAGACGTAAAATGGATCAAACTAGATTGGATAATGGAGAGAAGAAAGTGTAAGTAATATCGCACACATCGGACTACACATTAATTTCTTTTCTTTTTATTTTATTATTTTTTTTAAAGAAAGCATTTTAATTTGAAAGCTTTCAAAATTTATTTCAGTGTAACATTAGCAGATTAACCACGTGGGGATAACCAAGGGACCAAGACTCTGATTAACGAAAGTACTACATTATGTAAGACATGCATGTACATGTTCTAGGATGATATTAAGAAATATTTAAGTCGTATTAAAGTGATGTTTTTGAAAGTGTCTTAAGCCGAGTTCAGCTAAATCCTAAAATTAATCGTAACGTTATGACACCAAAACCCATGTCTTAAGATAGACTAGTATCAGGATGGTTAGAAATGTTTTCCTTTAAAATTGTTTCGGTATATGTAACACATTAATTATGGAATTCTCAGCCTTTTCATGCCTAAAGGTGTTATTTGACTATAAATTGTATGAAAATAAGAATTTTAATACTGTAAACATCATTTTTGTCGAGCCTTTCGCGAAAGCAAGACAGAACGATCTTAGATTCCGTCGTCGGCGGCGGCGTCGGTGGCGTCAACATTTAGGTTCAGTCTGTGGTTAAAGTATTTTTGGACATCAATAATACATGGAAACCTACATGGAATTAGATGAAATTTGGGCAGAAGCTTGTTTATGACCAAAATACAGTATCCAGAGCAAAATTTTGAAAATATTTATTTTCATTTTTCCGTATATTACTGATAATTGGACTTAGTGTTTTTTAACAGTTAACATCCGTATTCAGTCTAAGATTAAAGTTTGTTAGTCATCATTAACTTTGTTAAACCTTCATGGAATTTGATGAAATTTGGACAGAAGCTTGTTTATGACCAACTTACAGTATCCAGAACAAATTTTTTTCCGTATTTTACTGATAAATGGACTTAACTGTTTTCACACCTAACATTCAGATTCAGTCTGAGGTTAAATTTTTTCAGTCATCAATAACTTTATTAAACCTTCATGGAATTTGATGAAATTTGGACAGAAGCTTGTTTATGATCAAAATAAGTATCCAGAGCAAAATTTTTGAAAATATTTATTAACATTTTCCTGTTTTTTTTACCGATAAATGGACTTAGTTTTTTTAACATTTAACAAATAGATAAATACTGGGGTTACAGTTTGTTACACATCAAATACTTTGTCAAACCTTCATTGAATTTTATGATTTTTTTTATGATTAAGAGCTAATAAAATTGAGAATGGAAATGGGGAATGTGTCAAAGAGACAACAACCCGACCACAGAGCAGACAACAGCCGAACGCCACCAATGGGTCCTCATTAATGCAGCGAGAAACTCCCGCACCCGGAGGCGTCCTTCAGCTGGCCCCTAAATAAATATGTATACTAGTTCAGTGATAATGGACGTCATACTAAACTCCAAATTATACACAAGAAATGTCTGAAGCACACTTTTGAAAATATATTTTCATTTTCAGTATTTTTCTGATTGATGGACTTTTTATACAGTTATCATTTACTGACATGATAAGTTTGTTAACCTTCATGGATTGTTATGAAACTTGGACAGAAGCTAATCTTCAAGATAGCATCTAAAGAGAAAGTTTGAATCTTTTTCAACATTCTGTATTTTACTGATAAATGAACTCACTTTTGAAGTCAACATTACACTTTTACACCGACAGCAGCAATCTTAGGCGAGACACAGGGTTCTGCCGAACCCTTACAATTTCTATGCCCTACCTACGATAGTAGTAGGGACATTATGTTTTCTGGTCTGTGCGTCCGTTCGTTCGTCCGTTCGTCCGTCTGTCCCGCTTCAGGTTAAAGTTTTGGTTAAGGTAGTTTTTGATGAAGTTGAAGTCCAATCAACTTGAAACTTAGTACACATGTTACCTATAATATGATCTTTCTAATTTTAATGCCAAATTAGAGCTTTGACCACGGTCCACTGAACATAGAAAATGATAGTGCGAGTGGGGCATCCGTGTACAATGGACACATTCTTGTTTTTAAATATGCATTGTCCGTTGAATGTATTTTCGTGTATTTCAATATGAATTTGTCTACTGGCCGTTAAGGACATACAATACAGTTTTTATCAGTTGGTGTTTTTTTTACGAAAATTTGCATACAATATATATTTACCCAGTCAATTCAAATATGTAATAAAAATACACCTTCATATGCTAATATTAGAGATAATATTAGACAGTTTCTCAAAATTTCGGTTTCTTGGACATTTCTATTCTTTAGATAGACAAACCTATCTTTTTTTATTTCAAAGGATAAACAGAAGCGGATTTTTGTAAAAACATTAATTTTGTATGCTCTAAATTTGTGTAACAGTTCTTTGGAAATAATTAATTTTTTATCAAACTTTTTTGATATCAGAAAAAACGGCATTTTTAATTGTTACCATGCCTTTGACTCTCTTATGAGTGTAATTTATGCTTAATAAAGTTATTATTATATTGTATATTTATCTACTAGTAAATTGAAAAAAATCATCGGTGATTTTTTTCTTAAAAATTGGTACAAATAATTTTCATACATAATCAAACCAAATGTAATTTTAAAAAGGAGGGGTCAATATACTCGCTTTCAAGCTAGAGATTAAAATCAGTCGGAAAAAGGCATCTTTTCCCAGATATTTTTTTCTTAAAAATTGGTACAAATAATTTTCATACATAATCAAACCAAATGTAATTTTAAAAAGGAGGGGTCAATGTACTCGCTTTCAAGCTAGAGATTAAAATCAGTCGAAAAAATGCATCTTTTCCCGATATGTCACAGTCAAAATTAACATTTTACGTTATCAAGAACGTCATTGCCTTCCCTCTGACTGTATTGTATGCCCTTAATCAACAAACAATCAATTGAACACTCAATTTTAATGTCAAATAAATGTAATAAACAGTTGTTAGCATTGATCAAGAAAGGAACATATGGGAGAATTGATTATAGTGCATATATATGCATTATATGCATGTGTACAACTTGCAAACACGAGCCTCGATATCTGTTTAAACATAGATTTTCCCAATCGTATTAAACTACAACAAACGACTTCTAATATTTTATTATATTATATGACTAATACTAATACACATATCCAACCATAAAAGATTCATTTTAACAAAACATTGATTGTAAATAAGTTTTATTTATTTATTAGCTCTACTTTTTAGAATTTATAGTTTTATGATCGTTTGGATATCCCATGAATATGAGCTCCAGAATACCAACTAATACCGAGATACAACCTCTCTTGGGTGAAGTCGGGGGAATATTCACAAATTCACGTCTTTTTCATTATACTTTTTCGAATGTTACGAAACATAAAACGTTAGGACTATCACAAGACCCCAACATGTCGAGTCATGTCACAAAATTCTTACAAGTTAAGTTCATCGTAAGCATACAGATTTGTTTTTGACTTACGTTCAATAATTAGTCTTAAGTTTTTTTGTGAATCATCATTTTTAGAACTGATTATCGCACACTGCAGGCTTCAGAAATGAACCTCGTGCAGCATCTTTCATATAGATACGAAGAAGTTCAACTGTTTTATTACTATACAAATAAATGGGTGCATACTATTATGACACGTCTATGATACGAGCAAGAGAATGACTTTGTACAGTAAAGTACCGTGGTAATGATATCTCTTGAATGAAGGGCTTTAGTTTGCAGTATAAAACGTTCGAATGTAACAACCAAAAAAAATAACGTTAGGACAAACTTAAGTACCCTTAATTGTTGTCTAACTAGGACAAAGTCTGAGACTTATTCTAAGCTGAAATATGTTTGATGATTCCAATTACATTGTTCATTTGCGACTAAGATATGTTCATGATAGTCTTATGAAATATCCTTATCTGAAGACACCATCAATAATTAAACAGGCTCCCGTTTGTATATTTTGGACGATTTCTACATATAATGTTCAAGCGTAACAATTCAGGACTTCTGATAAGTGACGCGCAAAAGAACTTGAAGTCTCTTAAATAATTTACACCTCTCGATGGTGGAGATATGTAGTAAACTTTAATGAGACAGCAACCAAATAATAAAATGCAACCAAAAGAGATCGACCGTTAAGATATATTTAAAACTTTGATACCTATTTTGAATAAAAAAAACTTCGGTAACCGTTACTATGCTACAAAATATGCCTTAATCTTGGACTCGAAGCTGTCCGAGGAAAAGTGCAAATAGGTCTTTCTTACCAAAAGTGCAACATAAGTCTGTGCTACGACAAAGTGCAACATAAATCTGTCCTACGACAAAGTGCAGAATAAATCTGTCCTACGACAAAGTGCAACATAAATCTGTCCTACGAAAAAGTGCAACATAAATCTGTCCTACGACAAAGTGCAACTTAAGTCTGTCCTACAACAAAGTGCAACATAAATCTGTCCTACGACAAAGTACAACATAAATCTGTCCTACGACAAAGTGCAACATAAGTCTGTCCTACGACAAAGTGCAACACAAATCTGTCCTACGACAAAGTGCAACATAAATCTGTCCTACGACAAAGTGCAACATAAGTCTGTCCTACGACAAAGTGCAACACAAATCTGTCCTACGACAAAGTGCAACATAAATATGTCCTACGACAAAGTGCAACTTAAGTCTGTCCTAGACAAAGTGCAACTTAATCTGTCCTACGACAAAGTACAACATAAATCTATCCTACGATAACGTGCAACTTAAGTCTGTCCTACGACAAAGTGCAACTTTAGTCTGTCATACATCAAAGTACAACTTAAGTCTGTCCTACGACAAAGTACAACTTAAGTCTGTCCTACGACAAAGTGCAACATAAATCTGTTCTACGACAACGTGTACATTAAGTCTGTCCTAGTACGACAAAGTGAAACATGAGTCTGTCCTACGTCAAAGTACAACATAAGTCTGTCCTACGACAAAGTGCAGCTTTAGTCTCCTAGACAGAGTACAACATAAATCTGTCCAACGACAACGTGCAACTTAAGTCTGTCCTA